GAGGGGTTTGCAGCGGGGCTGGAGAGCTTTGCAGCGGGGCTGGAGGGGTTTGCAGCGGGGCTGGAGGGCTTTGCAGCGGGGCTGGAGGGGTTTGCAGCGGGGCTGGAGGGCTTTGCAGCGGGTTTTAATCTCTTTCCGCTCACTCTATAGCAGCAGCAGCAGGACGGGAATCCCCCCTCCCTTCGCCGCCTCCTTGCCCGGCCGTGCCCCGCTGAGACGTGCAAAGAGTTTTTTGGGGTTAACTCGGCCTGGCCGCCCCTGGAATAGAGACTCTCTGGATATCGCACCGGTTGGGGTTTGCTGTCTATGTCGTGTTGGGAAATCTGGTGGAATTTTTTCTCGCTCGAGGAGGAAGATCCCGGTACCGGCAGCTGGCTTCGTGATCTTTTTCGGAGGGCGAAGGAAGGGAAGGGATCTCGCTTGAGCCGTGCGGAGAGAGAGCTCGGACATGTGTTGTCAGCACATCTGGGGAATACAGTCTGCAAGTTCGAAAGGAAATTTGCTGGGATCGTTCAAACTGCGATATTGATCTTTGTTATTTTTTTTCGCCGAGGGATGCACTTGGCATGAGAATCGGAGGATGGAAATTGTTTGGGAGGTGCTTTTTCTTCTGCAAGCGAATTTCATCATCTGCATTTCAGGTATGCAGCAAGCACAGAAGGAGCCAGGGAGCGGGGGAGATGCTGTGCAGGGTTCCCAGGCATCCCCTTAAGGGGCAGGAGGAACAGTAAAACCCAGATCAAAACTGTAGTTGAAAAATCCGTGAATGGTGTACTGTGAGTGGGTTGTGACAGAAATCGACTCTCATCGCTTCCCTCTCACCCTTAATGTGTTTTAATTACCATTCATACCATACACAACACAGTGTACTGATAAATGTCATTTCTAGTGTACCTGACAGTGATAATTACTTGCAACGTTGCCATGATCCCAGAATTTCATATCTCCTGAACTTCTTAAACTTGGCTGATATGCAGATCTGGAAGGATTTGTGGTTTGTTGATGGAGCTGTCATGTTCTGGTGCCACAGTTCAGGGTCTGCAAAGGGAGGGACAGCAGTAAAGAATGTGCCTCTGCTTTTAAAATGAGCTTTACTGTGTCTGTGCTCTGAAAATTATTTTTTTTTTCTTTATAAAAAATAAAGCCCCGATCAGAGAGCTCTGTGGTGGCTGGGATTTCCAGCTTTATTTTAAGCTTGCAAAGATCTCTCTCCCTTCAATATGTGGAAAGCAAGGTAATTTCAGTTGTCGCCAGAGCTTGTCCAATTAATAAATAGGCATGCCTAGGTGTGTAGTGTAAAGGATTTGAGCAATTTATTTGTGGGGAAAACACTCCCTTTGACTGCAAAAAGCCCTGGCTCCCTTGTTAATTTCTCATAGTCGTTTGGAATAATGATGCTGTGGGAGGCAGGAGTGGCGAGGTGGCCACATTTCCAGCCTGGGACACTGCAGGGAGCCCCATGGGGATGCAGGCTGCCTGCATCTCCCCCTGCTCCCCTTCCCACACGCCTCCTCTGCCCTCCAGCCACTGCCTAAGCCCAGAAATGGGAACACAAGCAGCACAAGGCACTGCTGGGGGCAGAGCTGGGGTCCTGCTGGACATCCCAAATGTCCAGCCTGGATGTCTGTAGGGAGAGGCAGGTCCAGAACTCTCCTGGGATTGGCCTGGGCTGTGTCCCCCCAACACGGCAGCACCTGCAGCATCTGCACTGGCAGCTGAGCCCCACCGTGCTTCCTGCAGTGCCTCCCACTTCATCCACCCTTCCAGCCCCTGGGCTGGGCACACGCTGGGGCTCAGCATCCCTGTGAATCTGTCCTGCCTGCACCTGCCCCAGAGCTCCTGTATTCCTGAGCAGATAGCATCGCTGTCAGCCCACGGTGTGCGTCAGCCTTCCCTTTATCCCCACAGACTGGCACCATCTGCCACCAGGCACCCGGGTGACACTGCCAGCAACCCAGGCTGACCTTCCAGTCGTGTCCATTGGTACCATCAGAAAAATTCACCCTCTTGCTTTTTAGAACAGCAAAACCTGCTGCCTCTTGTCATTGAAATATCACACTTATCTGTTTAGCTCAGCGTGATGTGCCGCCTGTCCAGTGCTCCTCAAATCAGGCACTTTTTAAAGTACCAATGTGAGAATGGCTAACTGCAGCTCATCACTCTCTTGGCCACTGTGACATTAATACCCTGAAACAGAAAGAAGCTGTCCCATTCTATGCAGCTACTCATGCCATGCATTTAGCTGTCACTGTTCCCTGAGCTCCTGCCCTCCTTTCCTGCTCTTCAGACAGGGGAGCCCAGGCTTCGGAACCAGTGGGATCAGTCCTGCAGGGGCTCCCATCATTCTCCATCTCCCTCTAGCACTGATACCTGATACTGTCCACACTCACACCATGTCTGTTTGCTTTTTCTCTTTTTTCTTCTTTTTCTTTTTTTTTTTTTTTTTTTTTTTTTTTTTTTTGAGGGAATAAAGGGAATAAGTGAATGGTGGGATGCTTCTATTTCATGGTTAAAGCTGTGTTCAGATAATTTTGACCACACAGAGGATGTATACACGCTTCAGCCTTGTATTCTTTCCTTCCTCCTCCTGGGGATTTTTATTTTTTTTCAGGAATCCTCACTATATGTCATCTCAGTAAAAAGGATTAAGATCTGTAGATATCTGACTGGAACTAACGCTCTGTATTTGCCTCTGCCATCCTTTTTACACTGGGTTTTGTAGCAAATTATCTGGCTGGGATGTCTGGATAACAGTGCAGGTGGGAGATGTCATGAAGCCTGTTAAGAGATTGCCTCAGCACAGGATTGGAGGCACTCTGTATTTTTGTACTTCACCACTGGTCATTCATTCAACATGTTACTTAAAAACACTAGTTGTGATCCAGTGCTGCAAATGTCTGGAATGTGAGTTAAGGAGTGTGGCAGTATTTATTTTCTTTTTTTCTTTCTTATTCATTCAGTTGTTTTAGCAGTGAAGACTGAAGGGAGATCTGCTGTACATGGATCTTTCCTGAACATTAGCAAATGTTTGATTCAGTGTCTGTTTAAACCTGTGATCTTCCTCCTGCTAATTCCAGCAGTTATTTGGATTAGGGCCTATTAGGGGCTGCTCTTCAAAGGGATAATGTCATTCACTGAATTGAACAGACTGTAAAGTTCTTTAACCATTATTAATGAACTTACTGAACACAGGTTCAGTGGTACGTCCTTTGCTGTGTATTTACATAACATTTAAGTAGAAATTATGCTGAATGTAGCACTTGTGCTGTGTTTCTTATTTAAAATAAGTAATGATGAAGTTATTGACTCTTCGGTGTCTCTCACATTCATGAATTCTTGGAGATTTAGCATAGGGAAAAAATAAAGAGTAGTTTAATCTAATAAAAAGAGGTGTATATATGTTTTCAAAATATTTTATATTTAATAATTTTTATCTGTCAGTTACTTGTGTGTATGAGAGATTGTTTTGGAAGAAACTATGCTGAGATTTAGAAATTGATTTTTTTCTTAATCACCGTCTCTTCCGTGGCTTTGGGAAATAATTTATCTGTGAACTTCATGAACTCAACATTTTTGTTTTCTTGGCATACTGAATTAAGGCTTTTGCTACTTGGAATTGCTTGTTTGAAAAGAGAATCTAGTTTCCTTGTGCAGATGCAAATGAGAAATATAAACAGGCTGAAGGACCACGAAAACCATTTCTGTCCTTTAGACAGAAATAAAAGCCCTTGCTTTCCTTCAAAGTCATATTTATTCCTTTAAGTTGTAGCCACTGAGAAAAACAGTCATGATGTGTATTATGACTTTTGATGTTTTGTCTTTTTAATTATACTGTTCAGCATAGAAGGAGCACAGAGCAGAGGAAATGTCCTGTAGACAGAATGCTGAAATAAGTCCTCACTAGATGTTGTTCCTTTGAAGATGCAGATACTCCTGGCACAGGGATTCTACTGTTTATATACAAAGAAGATAATAGTTGTTGTATGATGTCCAAAATTTCCTTCCTGAGTAACAATACCACCAAAGATGAATTAGCATCAATGTTCTCAGGTGGCTGTCACCTTTGCTTACACAGGCATTTGTATGAGCCATGAGGAAGGTTTTTTATGAATTGAGATATTAACAATCAATTTCAAGAAAAAAAGCTAGGAAGTTGTTTTCAAAACTTCACAGGATTCTTGGTTTAAATTAGAAAATGAAGCTGTTGAGGGTATTGGCTAAGAAGGTTTTCATGTACATTTTCTGTTAATACATCAACAAAATTATTTATAAAACCTACATGATCAACATATTTGTGCCTTCCTATGAATTGATACACTACCTCTTATTCATTTAGCTTCTGGGAACTGACATGGATAAAAGCTGTCGTGTTATTTGGAAGTATTTTCATCCTTTGCCATGCTGTCAAGGCACATGGGGCCAAATCCCTTTTAGGATGCAACTTCTGTGGCCTGTTTGGCAGCACACTAGTGCCATAAATCATGTATGATGAACAACTGAGATGATGTAAAAGAACCTTCTTCTATCTGGGAACTCCAGTGTGTGCTGAGCAGCTGATGTGGCATCTCCTGGCAGTGAGGACTAGAGGTAGATTTGGAGCACATTTCCACTTCATTTTCTGTCTTGCCAGTTCTGCAGTCTCTGAGCTCTTATGACCTGCCATAACACAGAGATGCCCTATAGGAACTCTAAACTATGCCAGGGTTGGAATTACCTGCTGAATCATGGTCTGTAAGGTCAGATAACTCTTCTTCTCATAGAAGAATCTATATCTCATATCTCATCAGACAACCTGAGATAATTCAAGCAGAATTGCAGACAAGAAGAATATCAAAGCTCTAACATCCAGCATTAGAACAGAGAATGGTTCATTATGTTAGGACAAAAATGTTGAAAACATGTTAATTATCCTCAAATAGTGTCACAGAAATATCTTCTGTCACTTTTAAGATGTGTGATATTCTAGGGGAAGGAATTCTTCATAGCACAGATATATATATTAAACACACATATATGAAAGTGAGCACTAGGCATACAGGAAGGTGTAACATGCAGAGGGTTCCTGGTAACTGAGAACTTTACCCATTACAATATTTTTTCCTGCTTTAGTACCATCTCCAGAGCCTTATGTCTGTGGGCAAATCTTCATGCCTGCATGGAGTTGATGTTACTGAAAATCCACATGGAGTTTGTCTGCTCACATTCTCCACATGGAGGGACCATAGGTTGGATCCAGAGACCCTCAGTTCCTCAGCTCTGGAATGCTTTCTCACTTTAGAGATTTTTTTTCCACCTTCTCAAAAGGTGTGAACATGTTTCTGCTTGAAAATTCTATGGAAATGGCCTTTGTAGTCTCCTGTAAATACCTGCTTTTACTTTTTTTTTGTGCATGTCTTGTATTTTTAATCATTCTATTTATTTTTATTGTTAGTTTTACAGCTCGAGTGTGACCAGATAGGTACTAAAGTGCTGGAATAACACACATATTTTTAGCCTATGTTAAGGTAATAGAAGGGAATATTCATGAATAATTTTTGTACATTATGCTGAACTATTTTCCATCCAATAAACTGGTGGAAAGAAACTGGTTATTGCTGCTATTCTTTTCCAAATCATAGTGGTGTAGATACCCAGGTTTCAA